AGTCCCCTTGGGGACACTCCAAACCGCCTGGGGACACCTTGAGGACATTGCCACCCCTCTAGGGACACTTTGGGGACACTCCAGCCCCCTTGGGGACACCTTGAGGACACTGCAACCCCCCTTGAGGACACCCTGGTCACACTCCAACCCCCTTGGGGACACCCTGAGGACACCTTGGGGACACTCCACCCCCCTTGGGGACACCTTGGGGACGCTCCAACTCCTCTGGGGACACTCCAGTCCCCTTGGTGACACTTCAAACCCCTTTGGGGACACTCCAGTCCCCCTTGGTGACACTCCAGTCCCCCTGGGCACAGTCCAGCCCCCTTTGGGGACACTCCAGCCCCGCATGGTGACACCTTGGTGACACTCCAACCCCTCTGGGGACACTGCAGCCCCCTTGGGGACATGCTGGTGACACTCCAGCCCCCCTTGGTGACACCTTGGTGACACTCCAGTCCCCCTGGGGACACTCCAACCCCCCTGGTGACACCCTGGGGACACCCTGAGGACACTCCAGCCCCCTTGGGGACACTGTGGGGACACTCTAACCCCCCCTTAGGGACACCTTGGTCACACTCCAGCCCCCTTGGGGACAACCTGGGGACACCCTGGGGACACTCCAACCCCCCTGGTGACACTCCAGCCCCCTTGGGGACATCTTGGGGACACCACACCACCCTAGGGACACTCCAGTGCCCCTGGTGACACCTTGGTGACACTCCAACCCCCTGGGGACACTCCAGGCCCCCTTGGTGATACTTTGGGGACAATCCAACCCCCTTGGGGACACCATGGGGACACTCCAAACCCCTTGGTGACACTCCAGATCCCTTGGGGACACTCCAACTCCTCTGAGGACACTGCAGCCCCCTTGGGGACACTGCAAGCCCCTGGTGACACTCTGGGGACAATCCAACGCCCCTGGGGACACCCTGAGGACACCCTGGTGACACTCCAACCCCCTTGGGGACAACCTGGTCACACTCCAGCCCCCTTGGGGACAACCTGGGAACACCTTGAGGACACTGCAGCCCTCTTTGGTGACACTCCAGCCCCTTGGGGACACCATGGGGACACTGCAACCCCTGTTGGGGACACCTTGGGGACACTCCAACTCCTCTGGGGACACTCCAGCCCCTTGGGGACACCATGGGGACACTGCAACCCCCTTGGTGACATTTTGGGGACAATCCAACCCCCTTGGGGACACCCTGGTGACAGCGCCGCACTTGCTGGTGGCGATGTACTCCTCGAGCTTCTCGATGCGCTTCTGGTTCTCCTCGATCTCCCTCAGCTTCTGCTTGATCTTGGCCTGGGGACATGGGGACAGAGGGGACAGGTGAGGGACAGGTGAGGGGACAGTGAGCCCAGGTGGGCCATGGGGGCAGTCTGGAGACAGCCTGGGGACAGCCTGGGGACAGTCTGGGGACAGCCTGGGGACAGTTTGGGGACAGCCTGGGTCTCACCTCGGTCTCCACCTTCTTCCTCTCCTCCAGGTCCAGCCGGTCCTGGTCGGCTTTCTGGTCACGGTTGAACTTCTCGAGCTCCTGGGCCAGCGTGGCCGCGCGCTTGCTGGCCTCCTCCTTCAGGCGGTGGTACTTCTTCACCTGGGGACATTGGGGACATCTGGGGTCACCACACCTGGGGGACACCTGGGGGTCACCACACCTGGGGGACACCTGGGGGACATGGGGGCTGCATGCTTGCTGGCCTCCTCCTTCAAACGGTGGTACTTCTTCACCTGGGGACATTGGGGACACCTGGGGTCACCTGGGGGTCACCTGGGGGACACCTGGGGGACATGGGGGC